GTTTATTGGGCATAATAAACATTTTATAGTGCTTCAAAAGCAAATAATTTGTATTCAAATACAAAGAATCAATATCCTCACAAATAGAAATTAATATCTGGTTATTAATTATACTCAATTTAAAATAAAACTCCAAATTGAAATCAATTTTTAATTAGTACTCAATTAAATTTCGTTATTTGCATTATTTTTTGTTTAGAAATACATTGTACTGAAGTTGGACAGTGTGAATAAAAGTGTTTGGAAATTTTATACCTACCCAACGAAAATTTACAACCCTCTTGCGTGGAAAGCGATAAATCTTAGCGAAAACGAGACGTATCTACGGTCATAAAAAAGCGTATTTGCATAGTGACTTCAGGCGTTCACTGATAACAAAATGCATCAAAAAACAAACACAATAAAATAAATCTAAAGCAAACAAAGAGTGAAAAAGATAAATTTTCCATTTTATATTTGTTAATCGTGCCGTAATCAATACATTTTCATTTATAAATTATTAATATCCGTGCGAAATGTGCGATGTGTCCGCGATGCGAGACGCAATAAATAATTTTCGAATGGTCACAGTTTGGCGCTTGTATCACACAAATTAATTAATGCCGATGCGGAATTGCGGTGAGATGTGGTGCGGTACCAATGAATGGCAGTCATTTGCAATGTGTAATTCTGCATAGAAAATGGCAACCCGCCAATTTACATCGATCACAATCGGAAACCAGTGAATGATTTATGATGAAATGATCAAAAGCAATTGTAAATATTTCACATTCAATATAAACATAATACACTTGATTAATTGAAGTGCTTTTTCTTTCTTTTTTTGTTGCTTCGAAGGTTAAAACTGCAAACGTTAGTTAACTACGGAAACTTTATCTGCGGGTTAATTTTACCGCACTCAGGGGTTCGAAATTAACGTGAAACTCATTGCCCAGCCCTAAAACTAATTCTGCACTAATTATACAGCCTCTTCTTGTGTTTCCGTGCAAAAACGTTTTCGTTCGCTGCACAAGCTCAACAAATCTAATTTTACTCGATATTTACCGACATCTTGATATAAACCACTACCTGGATTAAATTAATAACAAAACTCCGTAATTGTGAACATGTTTGATGTGAGTTAGCGTGTTGTTCACGTCGATTACGTGGTCTGTCTGTCTGTCTATCAAGATGAAACATAATATAGATATCTAGACCTAGAACTTGGAAAAAACTACAATTTCCCACAGTTCTACGATAAAATGAAAACGAAATGCACGCCACCGCTAGTGGTTTGCTTCAAGAGACTGAGACGCTTCACCTTCACGCGAATGAAGCGGAGCGTGGCGGAAAACTGAGCAGTGAACACACAGTGAGCAGCATCGTAAGCCGACCGATGCAGACACCGCAAACATACAACCGACACAATACAACTTCTAAGGCTAACCGAACTTGTACGTGTGTTTGATGTGTTTGTGTTTGCTCGCGTACATTTGATATCAGCATGCCGCATCAGTGGAGCTGCTGCTGCTGCGTGCAGAGAGAAGGGCATTAAAAAGGCATCACTAACTTTTCTTCCAATACAACACAGCAAGCACAACTCACAGAGTTCAGTCGAGTTGAGATGCGATGCGATAGCTTTAGATTTATCTGCATCGAATCACTCTGTGTGTCATATCTTAGAATGGTGCAGTTATGAAAAGCGAAGACTAAACGAAACTCGAAATTGAAGAAGAAAAGTGACATGCTGAAATGGCAAACAGGAAAATACAGCACTAAAATGTAGGATTGCAGAATAAGCTAGGGGAAAACTTTTTTTCTCGTTCAAAAAGCATTCAAACATTCACATTCAAAGCACAGGAAGATGTGAGTGCCTCTATGCAATTGAAACAAGTTGAAAAATTGTGGGATTGCATGAAATCCTCAGCGTAATAGAAATATGAAAAGGAAAAAAGATATACTAGAAGGGTAAAAATACTGCCCTAAAAAACCCAACGCACTTTTTACGATTGCGTGAGTTTTTTCTCCGTAATGTCCCAGGGAGCTGCCACCACTCCAAATAAATAAATATACTCGAGTGAATTTTGAAGAACACGTGCAAATAATGTGAAAACATTGATTTGTATCTCAATGAGTTATCACTGATAGGGTAATAAAAAAGTAATAAATCTCTTTACTTTACTTTTCGTATTGATTATAATGCTTCCAACATGTTTTTCAGCAATTTAATGCATTTGCCAAGTACCACGAGAGCAAACGCAGCCGCCGTTGAAGAATTTTCTCGGAAGGAAAGTAAAAATAAAATGATTAACCTCATTCCTTGTTTATACTAGAACACGCTGCTCACTGCTTGCGACTAGTGACGGACTTTGCGACGACGATGTCCGACTTGTTCCACTCGACCAGACACAAAACACTTGATACAATTTAAGACAACACAATTCTATACCAGTTAACAGCGGTGACAAGAAATACAAAAAACAGACATTTTGTTCTTCACACTCACTTTACGCTACAACGAGAAATATAGCTGTGACAAATCTTTCAAGTAACCAATTTGTTGTCTGGTGTTGTTTTAATTTCCTTTTGCGTCTCTCGTTAAAAAATGTTTTGCGTTGCTATGAGTTGTGAACATTATGTTTCATGTTACAATTCATTACGAAACACACTTTAGTAACCAGTTTTCATTCGGTTTGCGCACGCTCACGACCAGTTCGCTGCAGAATACATATTGAAATTGAAATTAAACAATTGCATACACTCATACTTTATGATTGCCATTATACAGTGTTTTGTATGACCTTTATATTCATATAGAAACATTAAAACATAACATTTTAAACGAAAAATAAACTCTTGACTGAGGTCTAAGTAATTTTTGTTGTGTTAAGAGTTGTTTTTAGTAGGTTTAACTAGGTTAAGCTGACAAGGTGACAATTCATACGTAATTCTATATCTGGTGAGTCTCCCCGCCGAGAAAATGGGAAACGTGATTAATGTTCTCTAATAAAAGAACGGACACAATCTCACAATGCATCCCGTATACTCTTCTGTCGGCGACGTTAATTTGTCGCGCTCGTAAATTACGTTTTATTAAATTGTTTCACTCGACAAAGTCCGCGCGGAAAATCACTAAATTCTCTCCTATTTGTTCCCTAGTCCAGTCTACTCCATTCTGGAATAAGCGTGTGGCAAAAGTATGAAAATCTATTGATTTTCTACACGTGTACACTCCTTTTATGCCAGGTTTGAGTAGGCCCTATGTGGAAAACTTTATTGGCCGGTCATGAATATACAATTTAAGGACTTTCACCTTAATACTAAAATATCTACTAAAATAGCAAGGTGAAAGAAAAAGTTGGGGAGGTTCCTCGAAGGGACATCAATTTTATAATTGCTATTAACCGCAAGTCGTTAAATAAAATTGGATTAAGATTACTCCAAGGCATTATGCGGAGGAGGTTGTGTATTCGGTCGTAAAATGTGTTCACGTAAGTTTTATAGGTAGTTATACAAAAATCATTCTTATCCATTATCGTTTCGAATTAATCTGGTGCTATTTCGGGTTTAAACTTTGACTTTGACTTTTCAGTGCCATGAAAGCTTTGCAAAGCTTTACCGTCGCCTTTTCCTGGACGTCTACAGTCGGTTAATCTTGAATGAGACGCCGATCCCGACGCACGGCGTCCAAAGTAATTTCGTCTTTCCAGTAACTGGGGAAAAAGGCAAAAAAACCTCAGTAGCAGTACGGTATGTAAAAATAGCAACTGCGGTTGAGATGGCTTGTGGTTTCCAGGCTCACACATGTCCGCCGGTCGTGGCCGAAAGGATCATTGTGGAAATAAATAAAACACAACGGCCTCAAGGTGCTCTCCTGTGCTCGCGCGCCGTGCTTTTATGTGTTTTATGTGTTTCCACGTTTTCCACGTGCGCAATTCGTCTGCGTCTGCCACACACAGAAAGCAAACGGTCGTTAAATATCCCCAGCAGAATAATCCTCGCGAGAAGAAATTAAAATGCGACAAAAATAGTTTACTTACTTAACCAACAAAGCATTATTTACCGAACTCAATTTCATTAGGTAGGTTTATACATTGAACTTGGTTTTGAGATATAAAACGAGCAATTGAAGCGTAAGAAGCAAATAAACCTTCGTGAACGTGACGCACACAGATAATCCTCTGTTATTCATTCATTCATTCAAAAAATATTCATATTCACGGGTAGAGTGAACGAGTTAAGTGTATGTTTCTGCATTTCTTTCTTACGCTTCGACTGTTTTATTATTAATGAAACTGCATGGTCCGCATGCAGTTTATGCAATAGCGCGTCGCGTAACTGTACTCTCAAGACGCAAGTGCTGAATGCTGACCAAGTGCTTGTGACGCTGTAAAAGTCACTTCGACGGCTGGAATTAAGAAATGTGCCGAGATATACGAGTATGAAATAACTGCATTCACAAGAACTTGAGTGCGTGTAGTGACATTTTCAACTGACGTTTTACACGACACTTTACAACAGATTTCTATAATTTTTAATTTGTGCGCTACAAAAATAGCGCTTGCCTTGTGGTAGCATTAATTAAGTGTTTGCGTTTCATTTCCATGTACTTATTGCTACTACTCGCTCATTTGCCCGTCGTAATAAGACAATGTGTCAGACGATTCCGGTTTGCGCGTTGCTTGAAAAGCAATTAAACCAAAATTGTAATTCATGTAATTATGCAATACAAACAAAAAACCTACCAAAAAATTACCTGAATATAATTTTCGGATATAAACAAATAATAATGTATTAAAACTGAATATGTATACATTTAATTTACATTTTTCGTACATTTTAATTTATTCACATTTTAAACAATACAAAATATGTTGGCAGTGTAACTCTTCCCGCTGGGAATTGGATGATGACTTTTCTGGGTATTGAAACAGGTAATAGAGATGAGGTGAGATAGGGTGAGATTAACCCTTTTTTCCTTTCGGATTCTCCAACTCGTTCTGTTTTTTTTTTTTACTCACCAATGCATTAAAAACGTTTATTCCGGTTCTCTGTAGAGTTGGAAACGTGCGCTCATCGTAATTATCCCTTTTATTCCCCGGCGTTAGTAGATAATCCCCCGAAAAGTTCCACGTCGCTTTTTTTCGGTTAATTTGTCAATTTTTTTCGGTAGATTTTTTGTCAATTACTTCCGTTTCTGCACTTGCACTTTGTTTATATGTTTCTTGTCTACTTCCGGTCTGCGCTTCCAGTTTTAGTTCCACGTTCCACGCATAGAAAGCTCCATAAAACTAGACTTTTCTCCCCGACAGAATGTAATCACAGTAAGGCCATAAAAGGCCACAAAGGGCACTGCACTGCAACGCGCGCACTGCCGTTCCTTCTCGCACAATCCCGACTTGAATGTAACCTCGTAGATGTTTTTTTTCGTCGGCGCGCGTTCTTTCCTCTGTTCCCACTTGTGCGGTGGTTCCTTGTGTGGGACTTGAGTCACCGATCGGCAAAATGGTCCGTTCGGTGCACCTTACTCGAAGCGCTGCACTTGTTTGTTGCGACGGTGTGGCGCTTTCCCACCCCGTTCCGTCGACGCGCCACCGATGCACCCCGAACGCTGCAAGTCAAAGTGAAGCGTTTTCGATTGATAAATCGCGGCGAATTGCGGCGGCGTTTATTCTGCGGTTTTTTTGCGCTTGATCGAGGAAGCGCGCAAGAGACGTCGCGCGAGACGTACACACGCGCGAACAATAACAAAATAGACAGCAGCGGCGCCGCTGACGATCCGTTCCGCTCCGCGCCGGTTCGGAATGGTTTGGTGGTGAGTAGTAAATGCTTCTGCTGCTGATTTTGCCGAAGTTCGATACGGACGCCGTGAGTGAAACAGGTTTTTTCCATCGCGCATTGATGTTTTTGCTAGTATTCCATAGGTGGCGTAAATTATCAAATCGCCCTTGGTCTGAAATTCGTTCTGTAACACACACATGCATTTAAGCTTATTAAATTGTCTTCTTGGTACAGCTAGCGCCAGCTGTGATTGACATACTACAAACAATCTCTTACTTGCATACTATTTCAACGCTTTAAAGTTTAGAGTCCTAAATAATAGTATAATAAATAATAGGAGTGCCTTTAAATAATCACTAAAAAAGCATATTAAAGAATTAAAGACCTGATGTTTTTCTATAACACGCATAGTTACACGATCCCTTAAATTATTGGTAAAACATTCATTCAATGCATTTGTTCGGAAGTTAGTGCGTTCTAGGCACAGATCTAGTGCGACTAACGCCAATCTTTCGCGAACGCGAGTTTCTATGGGTCAAGCTACCACCTTCGCATGCGCCAGTTTTAACGCGGCGCATATGTTCTGCGACTTCACATAACCTGTGTCCTATGTCAACATCAACAAACCATTATTTTGGTGTTTTGCATCACTGATTGCAGATTGTTTTAAGGTTTTGATTCTTAAGAATTGTAAATATTGAAAGTATCATTTCAATAGTCTGTGTGATTACCATAAGGGGAAGCCAGAGTATTGTATGTTTGCGTTTTGCAAGACCGCATTTTGTTTGTTTTTGGGGTCTAGCAAAGGAACTGGGTCTCACAGGGCAAGCGTACTTTTACCAAATTGTAAGTATTGAAATTCGATTTCATTTTTTTATATCAGCTTTTGCTGTTAACACAGGGAAACCTCTGAAAAATTGTATTTTTGGGTTTTGAAACACTGTTTTTGTTTGTTTTAGGATTCAAGCAAATTAACTGGACCTCACAAGGCAATCATTTTTTACGAAATTGTAAGTATAGAATATCTTCATAATTTTCTCTGTTAACATATGTGATTAACCACGGAAATGCCGTAAAAATTATATTTTGCCTTATGATATTTTTGTACGTTAAGCGTGTGTTATTTAATCCCAGATATCTTCCAATAACCTTTACTCGCGCTAGTTTTCTCTGCTCTAACTAGATGGCGCTAGTATAGGAAGCATGTTGATTTTAAAATTTTTCCGTGCGTTTGGGCATTAAGAGATTTCAGCATGCATGTGCCACCCGTTGAATTTTTGTTTAATCGCTGGGAAATACAATTGGATTTATTAGTCCAAATTGTTCGTGAAAATAAATCACGTGTGGAAAGGTTGTCACCGTGAGTAACATCATTTTTACCAACAATTTGCGGAATTGTGTTGGTGTGTAACATTACGTAAAAATTAACTTCTGTTTATATTTTTTAATTTTTCATATTTCTAGGCTTTCAACATAATCCAGCACCTCTTGTAATCCGACAGCAAGCTTCGCTAATGCATGATTGAACAAGTTATAACTTGTACGTACCACCACTATTAGCTCGACACGTAGGGTTTTAAATCTGATTGCTTAGTTTGAATTTAAAAGTCGAAGGAGTTATTGGTGCGGTCTAGCGTGTGTTCATTGTTTACTGTTTAATCGTTTTTTTTCGTACCTAGTAATGTCGTCAAAGGCACAGAAGAGAAAGCACAAAACTCTGACAATTAAAGAAAAATACGATATTTTAGAGCGCCTAAATAATAACCAATCCATAAATAGATTAGCAAATGAATACGGCGTAGGTCGATCTACAATTTATGACATTAAGAAAAACCACGAGAAAATTAAACAGTTCGTGTCAACTTCTGACTGTGACAAGAGACAGACACTCAGAAAAGCTGAAAATCCAGAAGTGGAAGAAGCTTTATACACGTGGTATCTTCAGCAAAGAAATAGACATGCACCCATTTCGGGACCCATCTTGGCCATGAAAGCTAAATATTTTTATAAGAAAATAATGAAAAAAAAAGGTTTTTTGGCTAGCACCGGATGGCTAGATCGTTTCAAAAGTCGTTATGACATACGTTTATCGAATATTGCAAGAGTTAAACTTTCCAATGATGCCACCTGCATAAAGTCATTTAAATTAAAATTTTTGCAAAGGGTGAAAGATTTAAATCTTAACCCGTCACAGGTCTACTATGCAGGCGAATCAGGGCTTTTTTGGCGTGTGATACCTGACAAAACTTTTGTTTCCTATAATGAAAAATCCGTACCTGGACGAACAGTAAGTAATGAACGTGTAACCATATTACCGTGTGCTAACGCTGCTGGTACACACAAGCTAAAGATGGTGGTCGTGGGAAAATCTAATAAACTACGTGCATTCCAAAACATTAATTTACCTGTACACTATTATGGACAAAAAAGTGCGACGATGACAAAAGATCTTTTCAAAAAGTGGTTTGATGAATGCTTCGTACCAGAAGTTAGAAAATGGTTAAAAGATCATAATTTTCCTCAAAAAGCGTTATTGCTTCTTAATAACGCTTCCGTTCATCCGACTGAAGATGAACTGACAACTGAGGATAAATGCATCTCTGTGATGTTTCTTCCGCCAAAATGCACTGCATTGATTCAGCCCATGGATCAACATATCACTCAGTTTGTAAAGCAAGATTTTAAGAAAAACCTGCTTCTGAAAGCCGTAGCAGAAAACCAGCAAATACAAAAAACGTTAAAAGAATTTAATATGAAAGACATGACTTTTGCTCTTTGTCAATCGTTGGATGCATTACCATTATCAACTATTACATCGTCTTGGAAAAAGTTATGGCCAGATATAGTCAGCACTCCTACCAACGATCCACAAATCAGTGTACCTTCGGAAGTATTAGAGCAAATTTTTGCTGAAGTACAGATAAGTCCGGAAGATTTGGAAACCTGGTGCGGTGGATTGAATATAGAGAAAAATACTCCTGAAATGTCTGACGACGAGATTTCTAGTGATACAACAATATCTCATGAAGATGACGATGAAGTACCTGCAAGCACTCCACAAATATCAGCACAAGATGCAATTAACGCCTTTGAGCTGGGATTGCAATGGGCTGATGAAAATGGTGCATCCTACGACGAACTTCTCGTTTTGAGAAGACTGAAGGACAAAGCAAAAATCTCGCGTTTCAATAATGTTGAACAAAACAAAAAACTATGAATATTTTAATGCTTCTTAAATTAATTGATTCATAATTTTAATTATTTTAGTATGTATATTTGTTTCTACACAATTATTTCGTAATGTAAAGTTATTGTATATTTTTTGTAAGTTTTATAGCATTAATGACGTTAATTGTATAATAAAACCTATGCTTCCTATTGTGTTCACGAAGTATATTAATTGGATTGGATGTTGACGTGACTATCGATAATAAAGTCTGACGGTATTATAGTACTTAGAGCTTGAGCGGGATTTTTTTGTAGTTTATTTTTTTGTAAAATATATATTTTTAATAAATAGTATCCTATGTTACTTCTGATACTTACAAGAGTATGTGTACAGAGTTTCATGATGATGAGTTGAGTAGTTTTTGCGTGAAATGGTAACAAACGATTGCATACAGGTTTCTTATTTACTTTTGATAGTACCACCTGGTGTCACCTTGTATATTTGTTTGCATCTGTTATCAATTATCTTTCCAGTTTAGTCGGTCGTGCGCTGTACTGTGGTTAACACGTGTTTTGTGCGGCAGTTGTTGACATCAACAACATTGAATATCCTGTGCTCGCGAGTCAACGATCGGCCGTCGAATATCTCCCAACTGTGAGTTCCTATTAGATTTATTGCTCTTTTATTTTATTGTATTTTATAGTAAAATTTCTATTCCAGGTTACCCGTGCGACAAAACATGCTACTGCAAGGACAATTTAATAGAGTGAGTATCATCAATTATACTTTCAAATAACTATTATAACTTTTTTTATTACTTTCAATAAAATACAATTACCTATATATTATAGACTAAGAGCCCGTGACGGCCAGACTTTCGTCATTTTAGGAAAGATGAAATTTGTTCCATGTGTTTCTCCAACACAGGTAATAAAATTACTATTTTCTGAAAAATTCATGTTTAAACAATTTAACTTTTGCAACTTTTATACACTTTCAATGCGTCTGGCAGGATGATAGAACCGACCAAACTGTCTGGCGCGAAAGAAAACACAGTTTCATAGCTCTCTGTATAATGTGTATCAAATTCAGCTTTCCTAATATAACGAAAGTAAAAAAGTTAAAAAATAATATACTTTAGGGGTGTCTGGCTAGGGTTGGAACCATACCAGGTGACTGGCAATGAGCAGCGCATGTTATAATAATGTTACGAACAAAATATGCAAAAATGGAATTTGCTAAAATAAAGAAACATAGGTAATCATGTGTAAATCTTTGTTGGCTGTTAACTGCCAGAGGAACCACGATAATTGGGGATCGTTCTTACCTGTGTTGGAGAAACACATGGACAAAATTTCATCTTTCCTAAAATAACGAAAGTTTGGCCGTCACTGACTCTTGCTCTATTATATTTGGAAGTAAATTAATTTTTGCTTCTTTTGCCGCTTTCAGTATTAGTTTTATAAATCATATTTCAATGTAGGTGGTAGCGTCAGTGATAAGACTGTAAGTATTGTTGTTTTTAAAAAGTTGTGTAATGTTGAAAAGAACAACCCTCAGTGGCATGTGCATATGCTAGCGTGTTGTGGGTTCTTTAATCAAATCCTGGTTGTAGAAGGCATTTTTCTTAAATAATAAGAAATTTGTGAAATGTGGGTTGCATATGTACCGAAGTCGAATGACATGTAAGCGTAGGAGAGTCGAGAGAAGAAAATAGAAGTCATAAGAAGGGAAGTAAGCGTTGGAGGAGAAGGAACAGAGTAGGAAAAAGCCACTCCGAGAACAGGGTGGTTCGGATTATTAATTCTTTTTTAATTTACAACTCACCTCACCTCAACAATAATTTAAGTGGAGGATTATCCTCTGAGAGAGAACTCCTTATAAGAACAATTCTTATAAGGTCTTGTGGTATCCCCTAATCCACATGCACTATTCCACTATTAATGCATTCTCCTCCGCTTCGCTGTTCTCGATGGACCAGGTGTTGTGAGTTCATCGTCTTTAGGACCGATCGAAACGTCACAAGTAGAAATTTCTTCCACATTATCGGCGATGGGATTATCGTTTTCATTGCAATCCGCTTGGTTCTTGTTTCGGAAACTAATTATAGCAGCCTTATTGGCACTGACAGCAATTAAAATATCATCACCATATTTTTTGAGGAGATGTGCTTTCACTGTTTTTATGTGTGGGCAGTAATCACCTTCAATTTTAGTCATCAGTTCGTCTAGGGGAAACTGACACTCTTTAGAATTCTGGTCGACATAAGAGTAAATATATTGCATTGCAGTATCGATCTCGTTTGCATACGGACCTTTTGCTTTAAATTCTTTTTTCGATGGCGGTCGATATAATTTTTTCATGCACGAGTTGTGATACTGTGCATCGGCTGCGGCCAAATCATTAACATGCTCGAGACGCTCAACAATCGCTCGACCCCAATCATCATTACGTGCTCTAGCACGTTCTGAAATTGTGTTTTTCATCGATAATTTACGTACACTATACACAATTTTACGATCACACAAACGTGTAGGGGGAAGTCCCGTAACGCCGGACGGCACCTAGCACCGGACACTCGTACTATTTAAGCTAGTTTAAATCTTTTCATTTCAAAAAACAAGTGAAAGGGGCGCGGGGGGCACACAGGTACAGGATCACTCGTCGTGGCTCGCCAGTAACGCACACGGCCACGGCGGGAGCAGCCGTTTGCTGTTTCAGGCGCAAAATCACGACGTCACCTAAATATCAATGTAATTAATTCTAGTATATTTATGCATTTACATTTGAGTGGTATTCAAAGATACAGGTAGTACTTGATTGTTATCCGTAAAATGGTAGAATATTATTAGATTTTTTAAACAATTTTAGTAGGTATCACCAAATGAACGAAAATGTCTGTCCCTTAGCACCGGACACTAAGTTGTCCCTTAGCGCCGGACAGTAAACATATTGATATTTCTTGTGAGAGCGAGAGAGAGTGAGGAGATGGCTATGTTGCAGTCAATGCATACATTTAGTAAATGTATACATTTACTAGTTAATGCATACATTCGCTAAAATTCGTAGTTAAAGTATTCATTGTAACTGAAATGAACACATTAGCTAGTGGATGTATGCATTCACGGGCTGCTTCTAGTCAGTGTGTTAAATCCGTTGATTAAATCGTTAAATTCTATCACCCCACCCCCACCGCCCCATAAATAATACCAAACAAGGTAGCCTACCTAACCATATGACATATTTGAAATGTCCGGTGAGAGGGGTATGGCACAAATATGTGTCCGGTACTAGGTGCCACTTTTTAAAACTATACTTTTTCTTACCAAAGTTTAATTGATAGTATTAATTATTTTTTAACAGAGGTTGCATTTTTGTTATTTTAATTTGATTTCTAACTTTGTTATCTACTATATGTCATAATTTAATTAACATTTCTTCAAATATTTTTTGATTTATTTATAAATAACCTTAGGTGTCCGCCACTAGGGGACTTCCCCCTACGTTTTTGTTTCGCTATAAACTCTGCTGATATTTCAGCCGCGCACAAAAAACAATGATCTTTGAATGAGAATGTTGGGCACGTGGATCGCAATTGTCGTTGAGAAGTCGAGACATTACTTCCTCTACGCAATGACGCAATGATTAATTTCTCATTATTATATCGTTTTCGACATACCTCGTGAACAACTATCGATCTCAATCCCTCTATAAGTTTACTCTTATTGTCCTTTCTTTTAACACTTGATTTACGAAAAGTCTCCAATCCTTTTTCTTTCACTTCAATCACTTCATTTTCTTGCAATGGAGTTTCACAAATAAAGCAATTGACGTTTTTAGTTGCCATGGCTTCAAAAATGCAAGCGACCCTGCTATACAAAACGATAAACATGTACTGATGACTCGAACAAAATACTGGGGGACCGACACCAAGGTCATATAATACGTTCCCTTATACCTGCGGAGGCAACACGCGTCGGGACGTTTTACAGTTGTCTTTTCTTTAAATTCATCCGCGACGCGTTTACGAGCGTAGTACACTGTCTACGAGTACACCACACGACTCTGCGTTATGGTACGAGTACAGTGCATATAATTATATTGAACACTCGGATGAGTTTAAAAATAAAACGTTTATTGTTACTTGAGTTAATTATAATTTGACAAATGTCTTATACTACTTGACTTATCTAGTCGAGCTGCTAATAATAAGTGACGCTGCTTTGCAACGCGCGCCATAAGTAGTCGCGAAGAATGCTGACTCTACAACTTAGAAGATAAGGCGAGATGCGCATAATATAATTCCTCCCCCCTTAACTAAAGACGTCCACGTCTTTTTGAGGTTTGGTGATAATGTTTTTGCGTTCCTTCTTAACATTTACAATGCTCTTAATTATGATAAACGCTAATACAATTATTGATACAAACATTAATACAGTGGTAATGGTAAAGTGCGTAACATGAACAACGGGGTTGATTTCAAGTTCTTCGTCATCCAGTACTCTGACATCTCGAATTAATTCTTTTGCATCTTCCAAATGCTTATTTTCCAAGTTAATAACATAATTGCTTTTGATATCCAAATCGTAGATTTTTGTTAATTTAATTTTGTAGCTGATATTTGAACTTTCAAAGGTTTTCCCATGCACTAGGATTTTACATTTTGATACGATCAGTGCATTTTTCTTAATAATGAATTTTTCAATTTTTACATTACATTCTTCCAACACTTCGATTTTATCAAAACTTGATACGAGAACTTGATTATTGCTTAATTCTATTGCCGTTTTAAAATTGTTTTTCACTGACGCAAAAGTACACTGTTCTGGACTTTCTAACGAGCACTTATCACTTTTGGGCTTTCCAACACACAACACTTCAGTCTCGATTTCGTTGCACGATTCGTCCGTCCACATTTCTTCTGATGCTCCAATGAGGTGGTGCTGCGATGGTGGCACAAGTACTTGCATGTCATCGTTAGGGATTGGATAAATTTGTTGGTATAGGTAAGTATTTTCTTTGACAATGGGGATACACAAAATGCATACAATTGTTTCCTTAATTGAAATTATTTTGAATTTGGAAAATTCGAGCAGTTTGAAAGGGTGAGTCCGATCCAACTTTAATAATTCGTTTGGCTTGTGTGTTAGTGCTAGATGATTTGTAATATTTAATAAATCAGATGTTGAGATTAATTTTAAATTGAAAATATCATTAAAAGCTTATTGTTCGTTCGATTGACTTTAGAGTTTCCAGAATTTGTAGGCTTAGGTAAATTTCATATTGTAAAATAGAGTGCAATTCATACTCGGTATGAAGGTTTTGAAGTGCTGCGAAAAAGTTATTAATGTTGCTTTCGATAATGTCCAA